GCACGGCTCGAATCTAATTTCGGTGCGGAAGGATCGAAAAAGACGCGAACGCGTACGATCCGACAGCGATTTCGTCATTATTCAGTGATCTAATTAAAACTTCTTACACGCAAAATACACCGCGGGTCTCTCTGTTGATTTTTATTCATATCAGATATCAACGTGTCATTTTTCTTGGGTCAAATAAATTAGGGAAGCAAATGATGTGCAGTTTCTGCTGGAATTGGAAATTGTTATTACATTAAAAATTCATATACAAAAATATTATTAGACACCGAGATCTGCTTTGACCGAATATGCGGGCCTCTTTAATTATTCGTGTTAAATTAGGATAAGTTTATTGCATTTGAACCGAGATTTGAACAGAAATAATTTCGGACGTTAAGTTTAAACTTTCCTTCGTTTTGATTTGTACCTTTAATTTTATTTGATTTTTTTCGCTTCGAGACAGTGCATTTCTTTTTTGTATAGGAGAAGAGATAGGATCCTATGGCTTGCCTATCGTTATTAGATATTCCCTTCATCTCGTCGCACGTGCGCACTGATCGAATTATGCTTTTTATCGAGATGAGCGTTTAGCAAATCTATCGATATTTCCGATCGCGAGGTAATCGAGTTTAGCTGGAGACTAATTTTCAGTAGCCGTCCGAGTCGAGAGAGCGAGAGAGAGAGAGAGAGAGAGAGAGGGGGGGGGCCTCCCCTGATAGCGATAAAGCAACGCACACTTTAATTATCGTACTGTCAGATTCGCTGTGCGTCCTACACGGAAATTGTATTAAGCTATTTCATCGAGACGTCATAATACCGCATAATCGAGTTATATGTCTTTATGCCATGCGCAATACTGTTCGCGATAATTGAAAAACCACAGGGCGCGATATTAATCCGACGAATTGACGTATCAATTCGGCCTACGCAAGGCTCAAAAAGCGTGTCGGAAAAGTCGCGCGCGCTTCCGTCGATTGCACTACGACTTCATCTCGAATCTATCTCTCACATTTGCGAATTAAATGCGTGGGCAGAACAAACCGCGATTTTGCAAAAGATCGACCGCGCGGTTCTCGCAAATTGAAAAACAAGGAGCGATGTTTCCGCGAATATCGAGGTCGTCGATACAACGCCGATCTCGGCGATTTAATCCGACACGCTGTGACAGAAGATAGAGAAAGATGCAAGAGAGGAGAAAGAGTTGCTCGTCACGACGAGATTCCGCAAATTATACTGTTTAAGGAACGAGGGCGCGACCGGACCTTGCGCAACGAATACAAATGGAGAGCCAGCCGGCAGCGCGTCCCTTCGATGCGCGTGACAAAATTCGTAAAAGAGCTCTCGAAGCCAGCAGCCTCCATCACCCTCTTCTTCTCGCCGTAGGGTATACTCGCGGGGGATTTCACCGACACACGGGAGAGAAAAAGAGAACCGCTTTGGCGACAACGTGATAATATTTCTGAACTTGGGGAGGGACTCGTTCTCGCTGGTGAAGAAAAAAAAAATTTGTCGGCCGTATCTCGATAGAGAGACCGAGAGAGCCGCTGGTCTACACCGAAACTGGTTTCGTAAGTGCCGCTTCGGCAATAAAAAGAGACGGCGAGGGAGACAGAGAGAAAGAGGCACGTAACGCGGCCGCATTCACAACGAGCGCATTTACATGTTACGTAAAATTTCGTTGGGACCCGCGATACACGACACGCCGCAACGGCCGGCGATCTCTCGCGCGCTATGCTCGCCTCCCGGTCCATTCGCATCTCAATGAAAGTTCAGATGACTTTTGCCGCGGGAGATCGTAGGGAAATCTCTCTGTGTAGCGTTCATCTCGCGAGCTTTTGAATATGTACGAATTTAGAACAGGATAGATAAACAGATTTAATCAAAACTTCAGCGGGCAACGTAAGACGCGTGACAAAATCAACGATAATATTTATTTCAGTGAAAGTCGTCTAGAAAAAGTAGAAGGATATTCATTTATTTGCGTACAGAAGTTGGAAGAGTAGCAATAATTTCTAACCGGTTAAGTTATTGCCTGAGGAAGGATTAAATCATAAAAGGCTCGAATAGTGTTTTAAAACAAATTTATTTGCAGTCATTTGTCAGATATGCTTGTTGTTATCGATACAATCTTATTATCCATCGATCGTATGACATTTAAAAAGACTTAAATTTTTTCTTTATATGCCTGTTTCTATCAATGTAGGTTAATTTAAATCTCGTTTTCAACTCAAAGACGGAGATCTTTTTTTAATTTTTAGACTTAGAACCGAGATTAAAATTAAACTACATTGATAGAAACGGGGATTAGTGACTTCAATCACTTGTTTAAACTTCAAACTTGTATTACTTTAAAGATATTTTGTGCAACGCATTCGCACACTCTACGTATTATCGAAACGTCTGTTTTTGTATCGTAGAGACACGGTACTAGGACGGCAATGTAAAACGTCCGATTTATCATGCGTTCGATAGCTTGTTTTAATGTATCGCAGCAACGGAAACGTTGCAAATACTGGCGAACTAAAAAAAAGGCGGAGCTTTTACTCCAATTTTCAAGGATGATAGATCGTCGCCCGTATTTCAAAATTGGAGCGGAACGAACGTATAACGCTCTCTCGTGCTCGCCGGTTATCGCGCGTTCCTTCTTTTTTATCCTCACGACATTACAGTGCCGCGACGTTATTTCTGTCTTCGCGACTGACTCATCGACGTCTCGGAAAGAAATGACCCTTGGTCGCGATACCGCGTCGGCTTTGCATGCTTATCAGTCCGCTCGGCGCAAAGGCGACGCTATCGGAAAGAATGTTCCCGTACAGTCGCAGGCCAAGTCTTAAGTTCGTCGGCGGAACCTTCATTCGCGCCTTCGACGCCACTTATTCCGGATATGTCGTAAATCAGATTTTAAGACTTATCAAATTTGCATAATACACGATTCAGGACGCTCTTGAACAAGATTCAGGCGCCTCATCGCTTTCGGAGTTAAATAGCTAGCGTGTCGAATGTCTCAGAAAGTCTGTTAGGCCTCAAGAATATGTTATTCTTGTGAATCAGATTCAATCAGATAATTTGAAGCGATATGCCTGGACCTTTGATTAGAAGTTCTTATCTTAATATTCTTGAGAAGTAGTCTCTCTTCTAGCGTATGAAAAAGAAATTGAAATTTAAAATTCAACATTTTGTGTCATAACAAGAATAATAATGCGATAAAACCGACGAGCAACAGTAACCAGTGCGATGACATTCGATCCTCGTGCAGTTTTCTGTTTTTCTTGCCGTTTATAACCGTTCGCACGACTTCTTCTACTTAAAGCCACTTGAGGCTACCATTTATAAAGTCTGGCAAGTTCTTCCCGCAGCACATCGTGTGAATCTACCGCATGATTTCTCTCTTTTTCCTCTTATCCCATTCATAAAGCAGGAGATATTGAAAAAGAAATGGTAAGAACAATTTCGCTTTTGCTGGCGGGAAAAAAAAAGGGGAAGAGAGAAAGAGAGATTCTCTCTCTTTCGCTGGAGGAAGAATTCACCTGCTGATCTAAGTCACCATTTGTATTGTCCGCGTATATTGCGGGCACATGTGGCTCATAAAATCGTATCGCGTCCAGCCGTTTCCATTCGAAGATATTTCTGTGCGCGCACGCGGATAAAAACAAATATGAATGGCAGCGATACCGGCGGCAACGTTATACGCCATCCATGACCGCGTCGTTTAAAAGGTTAATGTCGATATTCCAACGAATGTAAATAAACATTTTTAGCGACACTCCGCGAACCGATCATTCTGGCGAATCGTAGAAAAAGATCAGGAATTACGAGAGGGAAAGACGATCGTTACAGAATCGTCGACACACTTTTGTGTTCTTCACTTTTCTCTTTTCTCCGCTTTTGAAATGCACTCTTTTTACTATTTGATTAAAATTGTTTAATTAAAGACGTCCAGGAAGTAGTTCGTCTCCACTGAGTTTGATGATAGTAAAGAGCGGCATCCACACGAGAAATAACATTGTTTTGTTATCTTTCCATTTTATCATTTCGCAACAAGAATCTTACCTAGAAATGCAACGAGAAACGGACGCACTAAATTATACCGTCAGGTGGAGTTAACACGAAGATTCGTGTATAAGAAAGCCTCAAGGTCGCTTCTTTGAACAGATGGATTTTACGCGTTTTAGTGTTCAGCAAATAACATTTGCCGCTTAGTTTGGTATACGAATATGGTTTGCCGTTTAGTGGCTGATGTATTGATGCAAAAGCCAGCCGTGTTTGGACAGCATCTACTCGGTGGAAAAAGCGAAATGGGTTTACCGGTTATATGCTGTTTTGACCGCAAAAACCGACTAGTTTCTACAACAATTGAAGCAACTGGTCGCAAAATCGCCTTCATTATTCAGCTTTCTAGCGAAAGAGCGAAATGTTGAGTATCTTTTTTCGACAATTTTAGTTTCTCGGCTCTTCAATTCTGCAATTTGCGTTCAAGGTAAACGACTCGGAAAGTCCAGTCTAAATCTAAATTTTCTTATCTCCGAAAAAGGAATTCTTTCTAAATTCTTTCATATTGAGCAGTATATATATTATATATAAGTATGTAATATATATATATTAACGTAAAAATTAAAAAATAATTAACTTCAAATGCATTCGCATTTGTCATACTTGTAATTTGCGTGAACCTCAATGTCCGTAATTTCTCAAGAGCTTATTCCAAAAGTCTCCGTAAATTTCTAAGAGATGCAAAGAACAAAAAGTAACTTGACACACCTATACTTTATACAGTGGTTCAAGAAGAGATCCTACAACTTCGCTCTTTACGAGAAGTCTTCGACGGTCTCGTTCGTAAAGTTAACAACTTGGATGCAGGTATACTATGTTTGTGAAACGGCCATCTCTCACGCCTGTAGCCGTGTGCTCGGCAAAGCGGGCTCTCTCGGCTCGAAGGTCGAACACTTTCGAGCGTCGAGCACGGATTCCCGGCATCAGTGCTCGAAAAGAACGGCAGAGAGACGGATACTTACATCTTGTAATGGTGCTGCATGTGGTGGCCGACTAGGTGCATGTCGGTGGCGTGTTGCTGTTGCTGCATCTGCTGATGCTGCTGCTGTTGCTGTTGCGGTTGGTGCATACTCTGATGATGGTGAGTCTGCGGGGGGTCCAGGCTGGATGCACCCAGCAGGGTAGCGCTCTCCCTGAACAACGTTGCCACCTGCATCCTGGCTGTGTCGTTCGCGTTCTTGATTTCACCGGAAGTGATCCGCCGTCGGCTGGCGTCGCGATGTCGCTCGCGTTATTCCTTCTGTATCCGGATCTTGGCGTCGCGTGGACGCTCCTTTATCGTCGCCAAAAACGAGGACGGCTTGCTCCGGGATAGGAACGAATCTAAGTAATCCCTTCGTAACGTGAATACGGTTTCTTCGTGACGACGAAGGTCTACCGTGCGTCCCCACGCGTTCCACGGCTCGGGATCGATACCGGCTCCGAGATCCTTCGAAGGTGATTATTAGGATCGCGGGTGGTTCCGAGAAAGGTTCTTCGGATCGCGTGATCGCGGAATAGTCGTGGATCTTTTGCGAGTCTTTCGATTACCACGACTGTGAGGGTCCTCGCAAATAATATCCCTTAATGTCTCTTAATTTCTAGAATCGTGAATAGTCACAGGATGCGATGTCCAATCTGTAGTGACAGCGATTGAAGAATACAATCATCAATTACTCGGATACGACTATCGTTCAGAGTTTCCCTACCGAATCCCCGACGACAATGGCTTGCAGAGAACGTGCCGTCGGCACTTGAAAAGCGCGGCTTTTCGCGTTCCTTGCTTCACGAACACCTGATTCGGAATAACACCTGATTAACGATCGCGGTACACGCCGCGGCCAGCAGCACGACGACGCTCGTCGACGGCCACCGTCGCGGCGGCGAAACCGACGCCGATGATGACGCGGCGAGAATCTTTTTCTCTCTTTCTTTTACTCTCTGTTTTTCTCCCTCTCTCTCCCTCTCTCGGTGAATCCCGAGAATCGAGAACTCAGTCGAGACCTCGGGAAGTCGTCATCGTAGCCCTCGTCGTGACGACCGTCGGCGACGTTACCAGCATCCTCTCCGCGAGACCGCGATCGCCAGCCGGAACGCCTCCGCGCCAACAGGCCGGAAGCCACGAAAGTCTCTGCTCTCCTCTCTTTCCTCTCTTCTCCTGGGCCCACTCGCATGCGCGCGCGCGGCCTGGGTCCGCTCGCACTAACACACACTCACGAAAGGCGCGGACGCGCACACAACACGCGAGCCGCACACGGGATCACTGGCCGCGCGGATGTACTTGGTTTGGAAGCTTTCTTTCTCGGAGGAGTTTCTCTCCCCTCGGCCTTGCGTGCGTTCTCTCTCTCTCTCTCTCTCTCTATCTCTCTCTTTGCTTCCCACCGTTCTTTTCTGCCTCACTACGTTTATATTATCGTCCCTTCACCCGCGACACAATGCCGCCTCAAATTCGCGCACTCCGTGTCGTCTGTCATGTTCTCGCCGCGGCCGTCGCGCGCACCTTTTGAATTACGCGCACCGCCCGCCGTCTCGTCGCACCGCCGTCGACGCGGTGCGGTGCGGCGCGGTGTGGTGCAGCGCGGTGTGGTGCTGGTGCACCCACGCCCCGCTAAATGCAACCGCGCGCGAGAGTGATTGGCGCGTTATCGTTCTCGCGCTTCTCACGGTGAGTGCGTGCCGGTCACGTCGCGTCGCACCAAGCACGACGACACTGCGCAACGTTTCTTACGATGACGTCTCTCCGCCGTCGGCTCCGTCGAGCGTTGTTCGTGCCGCGAACTCGCGATATCTCGCGATACTACGCCGAACGATATCACGAGCCGAACCGAGAGGCGTACGTATATCACCGTACGTACGTACTCACGGTGCTGCGTGAATCCTCCTGCGAGAGGGAACTTGCTCGACGGAACACGCGCGTACGCACCGTGTTTCGCGGACGACTCACAGACTTCTCCGCCGCTTTTTGCGTTTCTCCTCTGCTCTCGCGAGTGCCTCTCCTCTTTTTCTCTCTCTCTCTCTCTCTCTTTCTTTCTCTGTCTCTCTTTCGAGTTCTCCTGCCCTCGCCTCCGCGGCGCAAACTCTCCCTGTCCCTCTCTTTCTCTCTCTTTCTCTTTCTCTCCCTCTCGTCGTGTAAACACGCGCGCACACACACACCGCAGAATCTGTAACCGCGGCAGCAAGAGTCGGCACCGCACTGCTCGACCGTATCGCTCGCTCGGCCGCTCGAACCGCACCGCTCGTACGTTTCCGTTGTTGCTCGACGACGCTCGGTCGTGTTCGGGTTCGAAGCCTCACGGTGGTGGAGGCGGTGGAGGCGGTGGTGGCGGTGGTGGAGGCGGCGGCGGTAGCGGCGGCTGTGGCTGGTCCGGCATAGTCTGTCCTTCGCTACTTCGCGCTCACGCCGATCTCCGTCTCTCTCTGTCTC